AGGTAAAACCGTGTCCGACTACTGGTGGTCTCGACGCACGATTTTCCTGACAAACCCCTGAGAAAAAAGTGTGTCAGAGACTGGAAAGTTTTTTCTTTCGATGTCAAGACAACAATAACAACTGAANAGAGCGTGACCTTCGACCAGGTCCACCGATGCAAGCGCACCACCCCATACGTCAGGTACGGTCGGGCTAAGTGAACTCTCCGCGGAAAATGCGAGATTTTTTTCAGAAATGGTGTCCAGTGACTTGAAAAACAAAATATGATGGAAAGGTCATGTCCCTACCCCGACACCTCTGTCCACCGAGAACCGATGAAGGTTACCGCACCTGCTGTCAGAGTCGTGCATAGCTCCAGGCACGTTTTGAGTAAATTCGCCCCTATTTGAATGTGAACGGAAGGAACGATGGAATACCTTCTTTCGAGAGCTGCTCATTCGTTCATTTTGTGGGACTCGACCAAAGCGTATGCTACAATAGAAGGAAGGAACGGGGGGACGTGCAGGCAACTATTCCTCGCGATGCATTGCTTGTGGACGGAGTAGAGAATTTTGACGCACGCGCACCGGTACTGCTGTTGGTTTGAGGGTCTCGCATGTTGTAGCGTTAGACTGAACATGTAGTGCGAGACAGAAGGGCGGCGCAAGGTGCAAATAGCCAACATCTGATGATGCCAAGCAACAGCACCGGGGACGAAGAGTAATTGTCCTTGAAATGATAACGCCGCTTCCCTGTGGTAGTGACGCTTGAATTTTTCATTCCCCATGTATGACTTTACAGCGAGGATAGCTGCNTAGCCAACATCTCATGATGCCAAGCAACAGCGCCGGGGACGAAGAGCACTTGTCCTTGATATATTAACGCCGGGGTGTGGCAATGACGTTTGAATTTTTTAATCCCCATGTACGACTTTACAGCGAGGATAGCTGCTGCTGGTGTCCTGTTCGCCCTCCTGCTTGCTGTTTCCGGCGCAAATTCCAGGCCATCTACTGTCACCCTTGCTCTGGTGCATCCATCTATGCAGCCTCTTGCCCGCTAAGCACCATTCACCCCTCTCCTTACGGTATGGATTGGTATCGTTCGAAGGTGCTCGAGCAGTACGTCCTCACGGATATCAAGACGAAGATGGGCACTCCAGGTTAGATTTCGGCAACAAGAGCGACCCCGACCACGACGGTGTTGCCGTACCTTCCCCGTGTGCGAGGCTTTTTCCGAAAAGATTCGGCAACAAGAGCGACCCCGACCACGACGGTGTTGCCGCACCTTCCCCGTGTGCGAGGCTTTTTCCGAAAAGCCGTTTGCTGCGAAGGGCGGCGGCGGTGAAGAATCTTGGACGCCATTATCGACATGTACGTTGCTTTTGTTTCGATACGTGAACCAAGCTCTGTGAGGCTGAGGGTTTTGTTGTCTTTAGCGTATTCTTCTAATCCTGTCTCCCCTGGTGTACTGTCGGCAATTTGTCAGGCCGATAAGCTCTCATTGGACGTTCAAGCTCTGGTGAACGTCCAACACCCTCGTTTGTTTTGTTCCTGACGCGTTTCCAGCGTATTAATCATTTTCCCATATTTTCAGTATGCCCTGGCGTTGCTCCTAGGCAGTCGACGCGCTGGTGGTTTGTCGCAAGCTATTATTTGTGTATGACCCCGTGATGTCAAACAGACTGGTATTCACATGGAACGCTCTTTGTTCTTGGATTCGTGTCTCAGGTTTTAGGAGAGCTCCATGCGGTTCGGCTTGGAATACGTTGGGCCGATCCTCTCCGCCGAGACTGTTGATCGTCAGGACGACGCTAAGCGCTACCTCAAGCCGTGCTTGCTACCTCAAGCCGTGCTTGTTCGCGGACGAGGGGGCAGGAGGTGGAGGAGGAGACCCAGGGGCGGATGGGGGTGGAGGGTAAACTTAAGATGGAGACGGGGATGTTCTTCGTCTCCGAGCGAGAAAAGCGATGGTCCTGATGACCACGCTGGCTACAAAGCCTTGGCGGACACCTAAACCGTGTTGACAAGGTGTGTCATGTGTCTTGTCCTCTCCAATACTCATGCTGCCTCTCTTTCTGCCTCNTACCTCAAGCCGTGCTTGTTCGCGGACGAGGGGGCAGGAGGTGGAGGAGGAGACCCAGGGGCGGATGGGGGTGGAGGGTAAACTTAAGATGGAGACGGGGATGTTCTTCGTCTCCGAGCGAGAAAAGCGATGGTCCTGATGACCACGCTGGCTACAAAGCCTTGGCGGACACCTAAACCGTGTTGACAAGGTGTGTCATGTGTCTTGTCCTCTCCAATACTCATGCTGCCTCTCTTTCTGCCTCTCTCTCTGCCTGCGATGATGTTGGATGCTTGCGTGTTTCTTGTCGTGCATCCGTTATGCCCGCGGCTCCCTATAATGTACACCCTTCCTCATCCCAGCGTGTCCGTTGGCGACCCCTGATGTTTGAATGTACCTCGCCTCCTTCAATTTTGTTCTACGGGGGTACGTAGCTTATCCTCGTCTCTGACGTATTCTACGACCTGCGGTAATGCTGTCGGTTTGTGCCCCCCCCCCTCCCCCCCCCGGTGTTTGCCATCGG